ATGCGTAAAATAATATAAAACTGTCAGATCGATATGATGTATTGACAGAATGAATGTCGAAAATTTTAAACTGTTATATGTAAACCTCATTCCACATACCAGAACTCCGTAATATTCCAAGCACAATGAATAATATTAGTTGATAGTTATGGATAATAATATGTGGTCATAGTGGTTATAGTGATCCTTCGGATCGGATATTCCTGGGTCATAGTGGTGAATTTCATCTCTAGCAGGACGTCGCCACCAGTTGTGGGTCGGTTTACGGCTCGAGCGGGAGTTGTTCCGTACGACGAAACACTCATGATATGGGGCCGCAGCCAATCCATTCTCGAGTATGTGTGCTTCCATCGCGCCGCATGTTTGATCAAAATTTATCCGGAAGTACGGACGGTGTGCCGTCCCCGGTCTTGACCAACTGTTAGCAGGCGGTGTCATCGGACTGGCCAAACCTCAGATTAATGGTCGACCAGTCTATTGCATTGGGTATACCCAGTACTGCTCGTGAAACACAGATCAATGAGTCTAACATGTGCGCGAGTCTTTGGGATGCTTAAACCTAAAGGCGAAATGAAAATGAAAGTCAGCCTTCGTGCCGATTGTGGGAGGATTGGAAGATTAACTGTGCGGCCCCGCATTCCCGGAACGTTTTGCTCTCACTGCGAGAAACGATGGTGAATTATGCCTAGTCAGGGCGAAGTCAGGGGAAACTTTGGTGGAGTTCCGTAGCGATTTTGACGTGCAAAAAGTCGTCGGAACTGGATATAGGGAGAAAGATTAATCGTGCCATATTATAGTTGGTTCCCTACGAAGTTTCCTTCAGGTTTGCTGATACTCGGCTGTTTCTCAGTGAAAGGCGTGCGAGTTTCATTTGGTAAATGATTGATTAGAATGATTAGAACAGAATAATTTGATGAATGATTAGAACCCTTGAGGACGAAATGACCTCAACCTACTCTCAGACTCTAAATGGGTGAGATCTCTGGCTTGCTTGAAATATACCATTTGGGCTGACGTAAGTGTGTTCGTCGGGGTAACCCAAAATGCAGACACCGTCAGGAGATCAGGGAATAGTTTCCTATTCTGTATAAGCTTTCGAGTTCACTGGGAATCTCCCTTTGGACCATAAAAATTCTAAAGAGAGACAGGTGTCGCACCGGTTCGTACTCATATCCGCAGCAGGTCTTCAAGGTAAAGAGCCACTAGTAGATAGATTAATGTAGGGAGTTCCGGAACGTGGAACGATTCCGGACATTCAACATTCAGTATGTCAATATATCATATCGAACTGATATTCTTATATTATTCCACACATCGCGCAGATCACTATGAAAATCTTTCTACGACAAACAAATAACATCTGATATTATTTATCGAGCCTGAAATACTACAGAATTCCGGTACATGCAATGAGGTTTACATATGACCTTTCAATTTTTTCGATATATTCATTCTGTCAATATATTATATCGACCTGATTGTCTTTATTCTTCTTCTACTATCGAGACTGTGAACACCACTTTGTAATACATAAATATCATTTAACATTATTTATCGAGATTAGAATATTGCGGTGTCCGGGTAGGTGGAATGAAGTATACATATGTCACTTCGAAAATTCATTTTGGAACAATCTTTCGAAATTCATTTTGTGTATAAGTTATATCGACCTGATGGTATTATGTTATTCTGCATATCACAGGGATCACTATGAACTCGATTTTATTATACACAACAGTCATCTGATATTATTTATCTAGTTTGAAGTATTTCGGATTTCCGGTACGTGGAATGTGATATACATATGTCACCCCAAAATGTTCGACATTCATTCTGTCAATATAATTCGCAGATCTGATGGTCTTATATTATTATTCCCGTTATAGGGATCGTTATGGACACCCATTTATTGTACATAAATGTCATCTAATATTTATTTATCATTACTGAAATATTTTGGTGTACCCGTACGTGGAATGATAATTGCAGATGTCCATTACAAATTTTCGACATTCATTCTGTCGATACATCATATCTGATGGTTATACATAATTCGATGCATCGCAGGGTTCACAATGAACACCATATTTTTGATACATTTATCATCTAACATTGTTTATCGAATTCTACGGAATTCCGATACACGGAATGAGATTTACATACGACCATTCAAAATTTTCAACATTCACTCTGCCAATAGTCATATCGATTTCACGAACTTATATTATTCTAGGCATCGCGTGGTTCACGTTGAAAACCATTTTTTTTCATATAAATGTCATCTAATATTACTTATCGGTCCTCAAACATTACGGAGTTCCATACGTTGAATCAGGTTTACATATGTCCATTTAAAATTATTCACATTCATTATGTCTATATATCAAATCGATTTTATTGCCTTATATTATTCTATGCATCGCGGGATTCAAAATGAACACAATTCTTTAGTATATAACTACGATCTAACTTTATCTATTGACGCCGATTTATTACGGTCCTCAGGTACGTTCCAGGGGCTACATATGACCTCTCAAAATTTTCGACATTCATTCTGTTAATATATTACCCAGATCTCATGGTCTTATGCATTTCTACGCATCGCGAGGATCACAATGAACACAATTTTTTTTTACATAATGACGTTTTAAATTATTTATCTACCACGAAACATTGCAGTAATCCGGTACGGGTTGGATTACATATGGCAATTCAATACATTCGACATTCATTCTGTCAGTTTATTATATCGATCAGATAGTCCTATAATTCTACGCAGCGCGGAGATCACAATAAACTCATTTTTTGTTCACATTCACGGTCTAATATTTATCGTCCACGAAATATTACGGTCCCCCGTTTCTTTTTTGGGGCTCACATGTGGCAATTCAAAATTTTCTTCACTCTTTCAATCTAAATATTATCTATAACTGAAGTTATAATATTGTGCTATTCATCGTGGAGATTACATTGGAAACAATTATAATTCTTTTAATACGATCTAATACTATATATGGACCCCGAAGTGTTACGTTCACCAGCACGGTTCGGAGCTTACATGTGACAATTCAAAATGTGTGATATTCGTTCTATTGATATATTATCTCGATCTGATGACATATTATTCCACGCATCAATGAATACAATTTTTCAACGGCGATCTAATATTTTGTATCGTCCATGAAATATTACGGTCCTATATTGTAGTACATGGATTACATGTGACCATTCAAAACATTCGACGTTCCCACTGTCAATATATTGTATCCATCTGATTCTTTTACATTGTTATACGCATTGCAGGGATCACAAACATTGAATACAATTTTTTATAAATAACGTCTGTAATTTTTATCAACCCCGAATTATTGCGTTTCTCTGGAAAGTTTCAGAGAATGCATATGACAATTCAATATTTTCGACGTTCATTCTGTCAATACATTATCTCAATCTAATGGTTTCACATTATTCTAAGCATCGTACAAGTTACAAGGAATTACAACACAATTTTTAGTTTATAACGACGATCTATTATTTATTACTGAGCTTGAAATGTTACAGTCTCCCGGTAGGTTACGGGCTTACTTAAGACATTTCAAAATATTTCACATTCAATCTATCATTGTGTTATCTCGATCTGATTGTCTTATGTTACTCTACGTATTATGGCGTTCACAATGGTCACGTTTCTTTTTACTTCCATATCATCTAATATTATTTATCGCGCCTGAAATTTTACGGAGTCCGTGGAATGAGGTAAGCATATATAAATTCAAAATACCACATTCATTCTGTCAATGTATCACAGCGATTTCATGTTTTTAAAATATTGTTCGTATCGTGGGATTTACTATGAACCCCATTATGTTTGAACATATGTATCATCTAATATATTTAACTGAGCCTTAATTGTAAGAGATTTCAGGTACGTGGAATGATGTTTGCATGCATTGTCCGTACAACATTTTCCACATTGATTCTGTCAATATATCATATCGAATTTATTGTCTTATATAATTCTACGCATTGTGGGGTTCACAAAAATTGGCTTCTTTTTACATAAATATCATCTATTATTATTTATCGTGCCTAAAACTTTACTGAGTTACAGCACGTGAATTGATGACTATATAAGATAATTTAAATATTCAAATACATTCTGCCAAAATATCATATTTATTTTATGGTCTAATATTATTCTACGCATCGCGGGGTGAACAATGGTCTCAATGGTTTAATATATAATGACGACTTAACATTATCTATTGACCACGAAATGTAACCCGCTGCTACATGTTTGGTCTTACAAATCAACATTCAAAACATTCGACGATTGTTTTGCCAGTATATTATCTCGACCTGATGGTCTTGTGTTATTCTGCGCGACATAGGCATCACAATGAACAAAATTTTTTAATATAAATTGACGAGCGTGTCTTTTTTATCGGCGCTGGAATATTACGGTCGTCTGATACGGTTCGGGGCTCTAATATGACCATGCAAAACATTATACCTTCATTCTATGATTATATTATGTCGAACTGATTGTTTTCCCTAATTCTAAGAATTGCAGGGACCACAATCAAACAATTTTTTAGGATATAGCGACGATCAGATATTATTTGTTGACCCCGAAACATTACGATCTTTCAGCCCGGCTTGAGGTTTACATATGGCAATTCAAAATGTTCGATAATTATTCTCTCTATATACTTTCCCGGTCTGATGGGCTTATAATACTCTATGCATCGCGGGAATCACATGAATTCAATGTTTTAACCCTTTGCGGAGTCGCCCGATGAGCGAGAGTCGCTGTGGACGAGAAGTATTGGTGCGCGCAGTAGAGAAAATGTTGAACGTTTGCGTTATAAAAACTAAAGTTTTATTTATGTACAACAAACTTTTTTTTGACAGAATCCAGAAAAAACATATTTGGTTATGATATGTTTATGTGACTCGTTTTATATTCGTGCATGATGTGGTTCTTTCGAAACAGTTACCTATGTGCAAGGTCGGTTTAGCCGAACAAGTAGCACAATAATATCTCGATTCTTTTCTTCCACCTTTGATTTTCCAATTGGAACATACCACACAGTCTTTACTCCTTCCTGTTCATTACTTCATCCCGTCGAATAATATGTAAAAGGCCGTTCAGTCTTTCTCCTGTTCCAGAAGTTGAAGGTTCTTGGGATCAGTGTCACAAACATACCACTAATTCATCCACCAAGCGATGTACAAATTGCAAATGCGTTAACTTTTTTGTATTGTGTTTTTTCTGATTTTCTTTATATAATAGATAAGAATTTATGGTTGAGATTTCCAAGCCCCAAAAAAATAATTTTTGCCATCATTTTTGAGACTTTCGCATGAAACAGTATGTACCTGTATACTGGTCTGCTTTATCGACCCCGCCCATATATTTATTATAATTTATAACGACACTTGGTTTCACAATCCTGTTCCTTCTTTGCGTGTTCTTTTAGTGATGGTTTTCATAGATGAGGTAGCA